CTGATTTTCAGTAAAAGGTTGTCATTTTGACAGAAGTTGAAATTGCTGAAAAATTCAGCAGCATTACTTTGCTGGAACGTTTGATGATTTTCATCAAGTCTAAAATCAGCTTCAACAGAGGAAGCAGAGGCTTCTGTAGACACTTCTTGAGGTAGATCTCCCCGTTTACAGTCCCGGTAGTCACGAACGGCGCACTCCATTTGCCACATGAGCAGATCTCTTGCCAAATCATGTATTTTTTGGCAAAATTTGAAAGTTTTTGCTTCCTTACTTCCTCCAGAACATCAAACTTGTGCTGGACGGTGAAGAACAGTAGCCCCGGAAGCTGACGGAAGTCCGCCTTGACGTAAGTGGGTGCACAGTTTCCGAGCCCATGACTTTCCCATCGTATTTTGCCGTTCGTAACGATTTGGAGCCTTCTGCACTTTGTACGTATGCAGTCTCTCCCGGTCCTTGGCTCTCTGAACGAAATACTTGGACAAATTCAACTTTTTGGCCACATCCCTGACCGAAGCATTGGGATTTCGTTTAAACGCTGTCACGACACACTTGTGATCCTGATCACTAATAGAACATCAATTCTGACCGCATTTCTCCTTCTGTTGGATGCTCAGAGTTTCGTAGTAACGTTTAATCACACGACTCACCGTTGACTGCACGATTCCGAGTTGTTTTTCGATGTCCCGATGAGAGAGTTGAGGATTTTTCAGGTGCTTGCGCAATATCAGTTCGCGACGTTGCTTTTCGGGTGACGACATTTTTTCCGACTTTCGAAAAACTGACAGCGATAAAAATACAGTGTAAACAATACACTCTAAACTACTTCTACCCAACTTTTCGAGGGAAAATACCCAATGGGTATTTTCTACAGCGCTTTTTCCGTGATGCAATTTGATGTGGGATACCCTTCAGGCCGAAGTGAGGGCCTAGGGATTACATCCCGTAACCCTATTTAAATGATAGAAACAAGATTATTTTCTGGGTAGATTTAACGGACTTCTCCCCGGTTTTTTCCTGATGAAAATAAAATCCCGACTTTTCCCCAGTTTTACAGGTTTTCTTGGTTCACTTGCAACCCTGCAAAGTATACCTTAAGCATCCATCTTGAAGATGAATGTGAAATATTTGGAATTACGCGTATGTGAAATTATTGAAAGATATAACTCTGATACGCTGACAATATCGACAATTGTGACAATTGCGCATTGCACACATTATAAGTGCAGAAGTGCTAATACAAGTGCGCTTTTACGTTTAATAGTTTTGGTGTTTTCGGCGTACTAATTCCATGGTTCATAACTGATAAGTATCCGGAAGACACCAATACGATACAACGTAAAAGCGTACATTTATTAGCGATTCCGCATTTTTCAGAAGTCCAATTTGGACTGCAAAATACAATAGCTTCTTTTATCGAACTGTGTATTGAAAACGGATGGATATATCTTTTCATGGCCGTGGGATGCAAAGAGAAAATCGACGATTATAACCTGTCAATGTAAGTTAGGACCTTATGCATTGTTCAGTAACTTCAATGGACATTTTTATGGAATTAATTTTGTTCGTTTGCTCAATGCTTCGTAATACTTATCGTATGATTTTCTGCTAGTTCCCTGAGTGAAATTTTATATGATTTTATTGAGAATTATCTACATCGAAATTTGGATGAATTCTGATTTAAATTACTAAAGAACTTTCAGGGGACTCCAAAAAATATTCACGGTATAATTCCAATAAATGAATCCAATGAACAGTGGATTAGAGTTATTTTCTATTTGCATTACCAGCGCCACAAAAGAGATTTCCTGAAACTTTCAACCCATATTTCAACGAAAGTATGTTTATGTTTTTGTAGCCAAATTATTAAGAATGTCGATGACGAAAACCGTTTGCATTATTCGGGTTGAAATGTTAAGGTTAATCATATGAGCTGAACTTTTCAGCTTTCAACAAATGACCATGCTGATATGTCTGTTTTGACCAGGCAGAGGAAACCCTCTGCCGATATATCATACGAAGTAGGACGAATGATATTCAAAACTATTGTGAGATACCCGATGATTTAAATTGTAACGGGATATAGGAGGGTGGCAAAAGGAAGGAACAAAACAGCCTCCGCTTAAGCGCCAGACAAGTCGAAACCTGCCGCGAAGGAGCGTGCTAAATCTCAAAATCCCGTACCCGGCTGAGACCTCAGGGCGAGTCCTTGTCTTTGACCTCCAACCCAAAACCGAACTTCTGAACACCGCGGTGCTAAGCAACAACTTATAGAACAAAAACGGAACAACTTCAGGGTAGATTGGTGTCCTTTGTAGGTTTGCCAATCCAGAGCCTATACTACTGCGACCCGAACCGAATGTACCCTGTAAAACTACCTCTTTGAAGACCACGCTTTCAGCTTTCTAGAAAAGAATCTACAATCTTGTCATGCTACTTCCATTTTATTCTGTCGAGACATTAACGAAACCCAACTTCCTTTCCTAGCTCTTCTATCTATTCATTGCTATAGCTTAACGACTAGGGTTAGTAAGTTTTAACAATTTTCATTTGCTCAGAATTACTTGCCAATTCTCTTCGCGCGCGCGCATTCCTACGTGGTCACACGACGCAGGACAAGTGCACTTGCTGGGTAGTTCATCTACTCGCCACTCACTCGCTCTCCGGCGGTAGCGTACATACGTGACGGTTCGTGTCCTCGACGACCGTGCGACGTAACGGTAAGGATGGTGGTGAGCTTGTGGCCGAGAACACCGGGGACGATGGTGGTGAGCTTACGATGTCAGTGGAAAAAGCTTCCAAACGTTTGCTGTCACGTCAGCTAATACCGTTCCACGTGTCAGTCACGAATTTCACCACGCCGTGTGCCTTATCGGCCCAAAACAACTGACATACAGTGAAGGTTTCCACGGGGTGTCACTGTGCACGGTTCCGCTAGACTGGTCCTGGGGGGGTACACCTTCGTTTGAAGGGAAATCTTCAAACGGTTTTACAAAAAAAAACTAACCTCGAATCATATCTATTATCTTTACCTGTCACTACAGAACCGTAGGTTTAACGTGCTGGTGGTCCCGTGCGTTTAGGATTTCGTGCAAGTGGTTCCACCTAGCAAGAGCTGATTTATAACCCTATTTATTTTTTATTTTTTTTATAATTTATACGGTTTTACACTTCACTTACGTTCATTCGGGCAGCAACGCTGCGTCCTATGGGACACTCAGTCTCCTTGTCAGCGGCTTCTATGACCACTTTTTTTCCGTAAATATCTTCTCTAGCTTTCACTAATATTCGTTAACAACTTTTTCACGACTTAACTTTTACTTTTACTTAAGTTTTACTCGAGTTATAATTCTCGCACAATGTACGTTTTCGTCTACTTTCCGATGAGCACTATCGAACTTGTCTCTATCGTGGTCAAACTTTAAGAGGCAGCCTTACAAAAGATTGGGATCTATTATCCCCCTTATGTGCGAACGTTTCCCGAAGTCGTTGTGTTAGTGAACGTGGCCTACATCCGTTCTGTCATAGTTCGAAAACCGCCAACTTAGACCCATCTGGTGTTTCATTGCGAATAGGGATCAGAGATAGAGAACGTTTTTTTGATAATAGCGAAGGCTAGTTTTGATAACTGTTCAAATTTAAAAAAGAAATAATTTTTAATTAATTATTTTTTTTTTCTTTTTGAATAGGATTGGAAGGGTGTCAACAAATTAAGGGATCTTTATATTTTATTAGATGGAAGTCTGTAACCTCGTTACAAAATGAGTGACCAAATCATGTATAATAGCATTCTATTATAAACGGTTGAGGTCAGTCTTATCAAATCTATAACAAAGTTAACAACTATAGTGGTGACAAATCTTTAACCGTAATCCGAAGATAAAACAGTTCACATGCAACTGATGAATTGTCTTCGGTTGAACGCATTTCCCATAAAGGGACTATATGTTCACATAGAATAATGCTTTGTATCCCTACAACCTACAATAAATGTAGGATACCGACCCGAGCAAAGCTGGAGATCAAATTGAAATCAAAATTTGCTGTCATGATGTAGCTTGATCTCACTTAACGGTTGACTTAACGGTTAACACAGTAAAAAATGAGAGCAAAATTTTACACTGTTGAATCAAACGGAAAACTAATCATGCTTTCAATGAAATCAGTTTGATTACTAAATTTGAAATGGTTAGCATCCATGCTTCTCACGCTGAAAGACTTGAGTTCAAATTTCACCCCGGACAAGTCACGAATTAACTAAAATGTGTTCATCAATGATCGGTAGTTCAACGACATATGAACTTAAATTACATTTTCAACAAGACGTTATTAGCAGAACTTGTAGTTAAGTTGTTTTCAATTAAAAAACTCTTGACTGCATAATGAAAGCACAATATGATATCAGACTTATGTCGCGACAATTGAAATCAAAACGAGTTTTTCAATTATGATAGGAACTGCAAACTTTAATATCGATTTGCTTTCATTTTGTTAACCGACTTTGCTCGGGGACACTTCACCTTCATCAGCCGTCAGCAACAAGTTGGATCCTCTTTACTGGTACCAGCTCCGATAAGTTTTTGCCATTATCCTTTCGGTACACTACAACTTCGGGAACCATACAATGGTGCAACGGAACGATTTACAGCACGCGGAGAGGAGCGGAAAATGAATCGCATACTGCGCATATGCCATCGTCGGTCGCTGGGCAAGAACTGGAGCTACAAGTAGGGTCATGCGGAGCAAGTTTTCCCACTTTTTCCAAGCTGGCGTCAGCGGAAGACCCATGAGTGCGATATATCTACACCCGCATTTCGAGTCTGCTTCATTGTTGTAACTAATGCGAAGGCATCATCGCATGAATGGATGTGAGATGTACCCACGCACAGAATTGGAGTAGGCACTTGATTGAATAAACATTATTCCCGAGATCGTTCGTTTGCTCGTTCTGCTTGCGGTTCTACACTGAGGGAGATATCTACGTGTGTATAGGAAATACAAACCTGGGTGGTGGGTCGTATGATGAGAAGGGCCATCCAGAGCCGGAGGAAGCCAACAAGTGGTCCGAATGCAACAAGTAGGTACGCATAGTCGCCGCCGGATCGGGTGATACAGGTGCCAAGTTCGGCGTAGCACAAGGCTCCCAGCGTCGACAGGATACCACTGAGACACCAAATGACAAGGGATGAACCGACGGATCTGGAAGATGGATGGATAGTATGGGGTAGGTGACAAATGTAATTAAAAACTTCTCGCAGAAAATGCTGTTGATGATGCGGTTGGTTGAAATATACAGTATTTCCCCTGTTAGTGGAGTCGCGAATGGAGTTTCAAAATAAGCTGAAATTGATCAATTCCACTTGCGTGCAGAAATTAATTATATTTTTTTTACTAGTTTCAAAACGGGGGAATACTGTAGACATGTTTCTTTGATTGCAGTCTGTTTGGTTTGAGCAACAGCTTACGGGATGAACTGGTTTGACCAGTTCGGAAATGTTGTTATGCGCAAAGCGCATGCTTTAACTAGAATTAAAGAGGAAGGAAGTAAGAGCACAATGATAGAACAAGAAGATGTACATGAGTTGAGTTTGGAACGTTTGGAAGTGAGAAGATGCAGAGAACAGAGTTATTTCGATTTTGGTTGTTCTTTACTGTGTCGAACAATTTTCATTCGTAGGTACAAAACGAAAGAACGTGATTCAATGCGGTGCGGCAATACATTTCGGAGTGGAAGAATGCATTAAGAAGATGAATTGAATGAATGTTAAAAGTCTGATTTACGATCTGACGGGTAGGGTGGTGCGGATAGTCAGTTTTGTTTTTTGACGTAGGACAACATCTGTGATTTCTATATAGGGGTACACTTTGTGAAAACCAAAAATGGAACATGTAACAAAATTATGAAAGATTTTGAACGTTAATAACTCAGCTGCCGCTGGACCAATTTCAATAATTAGATTACCAATTGATCAGAAATATTCTAACGCGAATCGGTAAAATTCAAGACTATGTCATTTTTTCAAAATGAAACTATTGAAAATTGCACAAATTTGCAACTGTTGCTATGATAGTTAAAATCATCACCGATTGCCTGCGAAAAGCGTTTTCCCCAACACAGACTTTCAAGTTGAATTCCATCACCAAGTGGTGAGTGGTGGTGTTCTCCAGTACACAACGAAAGGCTGCCTGCAAGCAGCGAACTGCAGCCCACATGAGCATCCATAGAAGGAGGAATAAGCCGAAGATGTGCTTAAAATTACCATTTGTATTACTACTATACACTAAGTTTTTCTACCGAGCTCGGCAAAAATAAGTTTCACTGAGATCTCAGCAAACGTGACATTTGATTGCTGAGTCTCGGATAATGCTTAGCTGAATCTCAGCAAACAAATGAAATGTTTGCTGAGATCTCAGTGAAACTTTTTTTGCCGAGATTTGCACAGCCGAGCTCGGTAGAAAAAACTAAGTGTGTACATGGAATTTCAAGCTTACTGCTTATAGCATATTAGTTGTTTGCTTGCTCTCAACTTAGTGTTCATGAAGCGTTTCCACATTTTAACTGAAAGCTTTCTACGCCTGTACAATCCTATACCCTAGAAAGTCGAGAAATTTTCCATCTCGAAAAATGAATAGATCGGACGGGAGTCGAACCCAGCTTCATTCAGCATAGACTTACTTCGTAGCAGCACCCAACTGAGCTAAGGGAGTATCGTTTGTACCCTTTGCAAAAAGAATTAAACAAATAAAAATGTATCATCTTCAGTTATTTATGGTTTTGGTAGTAGTTCTGACTATTTAGTGATTCCGAAATAATAATACTAACAATAATTCTTCCTATTTCAAAAAATTTTTGAGGAAATTTTGAAGGTTATTCTAACGAAAATTCAAAGAAAATTTATTTTGGAATTCCGAGGATAGTTCAAATATAATTTTGAGGATAATTTCTAATGACTTCTGAGGAGTATTCCAAGGATATTCCGGTGATAATTTTCAGCAAATTTAAAAGAGATTTCCAAGGAAACTATGAGGAGTATGTCAAAGAATTAATGGGAATTCTGAGCAGCAAATGGTAAGTTCTTTTTTCAGAATCATTTTTGAGGAAATTGCTAGAATTATTAATAATACGGGTAGCATTGCAGACTATGGAGGAAATTATAATAGAACTATTTTTTTTCCAAAATTGGACACACACGATTAGTCATAAATAATTTAACCCGAGACGTAATCCATATTGGACGTAAATCATGGAACGTAAACAAACATTTCATGTAAGATTAGGTGTTCTCAAACCGAAACATAAGCAAGTCAACGAAGAAAACGTTTGATTGAATTGATTTTCTCGTTTCATTCAACTGATTCTCATGTCAAAAGGGCCGCTTACATGTGTCGATCTCAGGGAACTGAAATTTACATGACTTATTCGTAGTGTGAAGAAAAGGTTTGGGAAAAATGGAAATCCTGAAGTTTAGATTTTTAAATATTTGAAAATTATATGATTCTGGGTTTGGAAAATCTTCATGGTTTAAGGTGTTTTATTTAAAATTATGGATTATGGAGAAGATTAGGGGACGTCAGAAGTTTTCATGTTCCAAAACTAGCAAAAATAGTTGAAACGCCGAACTTTGAAATTTAAAATGGCGAACTTGATATTAATCAAATGGCTGAGACTTCATTCTTCTAATTCTGGGATTTTGGAAATTGGAAATGTTTCTAGATCTCATGGTGACCAGTGAATTCCGATTAGCAATTTTTCGGTTTTTTCCCGATGTTTGCCCGTATTTTTGATTTTTTTTTCATTTTTGCTATATACATTAAAATTAAGCATAAAACCGAAAGCCGATAGAATCACTTGGTAAAATGGGTCATTACTAAGAGAGCAGAATTTTTCCTGAATTCGGACCTGTGATCGATTTTTCAAAATTGGTCTATATTTTCACTTCCCGGAAAGTTTAATCGAAAATCTGTACAGGATTTTATCAGAATATTCCAAGGGGCAAGACAGCTGTACTCAAAGTAAATATATTTGCTGCGAGCAAATTTCAGTTGCTTATATTTACTCAAAAATGATCAAAGAAGTCTCATATTTTTCAACATAAGAAGTTATGGAAACAACCACCGTCTGATAGAATGTTTTCTTTAAATATGTTCGATTAAGAGCAAATTTAGCATTTGGCGTCAGATTATCAACTTGAATATAGCATGATGTCCATGAAACGGCAATATTTAGTTTTATTGTATCAAAAGATCCAAGTTACATTGCTTTTGTCCAGGCCAGGGGTCTCTTTTGCTTTCTAGGGATTGATGACCGTCGAAGTTTTTCGTGATGTGGTGGTGTGATTTCAAGACCAAAGAAGTTAAAATTAATACTCAACCTCTCAAAATCGATCTAAGAGACTTTTTGTTCTGTGGAATTAGTTTCTGGTTTATTATTTAGGGGAAATGACGGGTTCGGCATGCCAGAATATTTTAAGCAAACCCAAATTGAAACACTATTTTCACTGGATTTTCTTACGAAAACACTTCGCTGAATGCATGCAAACAATTCTTTATGCTTTCAGCTTCAATTTGACTATATTTTTACCACTGAGAAAAAGCAATCTAGCAGGGTTTTCTTGAAATGAAACACACGCTCTACAAATTGTAGCTGATTTCGAGTTGCCGATAATAGAACAGCAGATTTACATGCAGTTCAAATGGAACGGTTGCCGAAGAAAAACTGGTTGCCGACAATACTCGCTCTCACTAGAGAAGATTGGAGCTTTGTAAAAGCGTTTCAAAACAGTTTTTGACAATTCTTTCGACTGAAATTGTTAGAGCAGCTGGCAGCAAAAGATTGTAAACAAACCAATACTGCATATGTGTGCGTTCCTTAGAGAAAAAGGCTCTAGAAAGAAGGTCGCTGCTTAGGTTGCCGAGAATACGTAAATTCCCCTAGTTAATTAAGGTGTACAATGACCAGCAAAATAAATTTACAAGCTTCTATAATGGACGATCGATAAATCTTCGGAAATTTTCGGTAGAAATAGTCAGAGTGATGGTCAACTGTCACTAGAAACTTCCGTTGTTCCCCTGATACTCTTAGAAAAAGACAATTGAAAATTGTGATCAGAAACGGGTTAAATGTTCATCGCCTGTTGTTGTTGTGATGATCCACATTTAGCACAAATGGAACATTGGCGAATGTGGTCTTTAATGTAGCTGTTCATCCCAAGTCACAATAGATTAGTTTTGGCCAACTTCATAGTTGATTCTATTGCGACACTTACATGAGCGATCGTCGAAGGGATGCAGGAATTCCTGCATTTCTTTTTTGTCATGCTACTTAGAATTGTTCAGAATCCTCCATTTGGGATGACAGTAGTCCTCCCTGAGATTGTCTGGAATCTCCCTAGAATTGTACTGAATAATTTGCTGGGATTGTTTGGGATCCTCTCTGGACTGTCATGAATGCCCCTCAATTTTTACTGAAATCGTCCTTTTGACTGTGCAGAATCCCTGTTGGGTTTGCCCGAAGTCCCGTCTGATATTGTCCGGAAGCCGTACTGAGAGTATATGATAATTGTCTGAAATCACCCCTAGGCTAGTTCAGAGTCCCTCCGTCATAAATCCCCTTTTCGATTGACTGGAATCCTTCCAGAGATTGTTCGAAGTCTTCTAGGGATTGTCCAGAATCCCTCTGGGACTGTCCTGAATCCTTCTTGTGATTGTCCATCAGAATCCCTATTATGTGGTTGATAATGTTTCGCAGCGTGCTATACGGAAGTGCAATTGCCTCTCCATTGCCGAAATATCTTCTCGGTTAAGATTGAAAGGGCGCCGCTTAAAATGATAAAATACGTATAACAAATTTACAAATGCAATTAAGCCCCATTGAAATGTTGCCACTGAATTATCTTTGCTTGACAGCATCGGTTTCAGCACAACAACCAGGTTGCTATGTGTAAATGTTGTTGAGCAATGCGAGTTACTCAGAGTTACTCAAAATTAACTCTGATTATACTCATGATCGAAAGCTGCCTTGCCCCAAGGAATATTCTCAAACATTTCCATTTTCCTTTTGAATCTTTTCCCAGCGTTTATTTCAGAATTCTCCTAAAATAAGATTGAGATTCTCTCTGAGAGTCCATAGAACAAATATTTATAATATTCTAGAAATTCTCTCCAGATCCATCCTAAAAAAAACATGAAATTCATCTTCA